GCACACGGGGCAGTGGGGACCTGGCAGTGCTGGGGGATGGTTGGAACCCATGCTCTGAAAGGTCTCCTCCAACCCCAGGGATTCTGATTCCACAATTCTGTGTGTGTGTGTGAGTCACACCTGCAGAGGAGGAACCTCGGTGTCCTCATAGCCATCACTTCTAAAGCAGGAGCAGCTCTGTGTGTGTTCTGCTCTGGAACATCCTTAGACATTGCTCTGGAATGACTCAAGTCTCTGATCTGCTTGGCTGATTCCCAGCAGCCCCACAGCAGCTCTGCAGCTGGACTCTCCTTTGTGGGTTCGTGGTGGACACCTCCTTGGATCTGTCTGTCACTGTGAGGACGTGGAGTCCCCCCACACCGAGTGCTCCAGGGCAGAGCCTGCCAGGACAGGAGGTGCCTGGTGAGGGCCAGGTCCCACCAGCACCCTCAGGACCATCCCAGCTGGAGATGGGAACCTTTGAGTTTGTGCTTGGTGCTGGGTGGTGTCAGGGAAGGGAGATGGGAAGTATGGTAGAGGAGCAGCTATGGGCAGCAGAGAACCACAGAACTGTGTGGGTTGGAGAGACCTTTAGGATCATTGAGTCCAACTGTTGCCCCAGCCCTGCCAGGTCCCCACTGCCCCGTGTCCCTCACACCACATCTCCACGGCTTGGAAACCCCTCCAGGGGTGGGGACTCCACCACTGCCCTGGGCAGCCTGGCACAGCCCTGGGCAACCCTCCAGGGGAACAAATTGTTCCTCAGGGACAACCTCAACCTCCCCTGGGGCAACTTGAGGCTGTTTCCTCTTCTCTTACCCAAACTGGGGCTGTGGCTGCCTGGGGCTGAGCTCACTCGAGGTGAGATTGGAGAGCAGCACTCCTGGTGTTTCAGAGCAGTTCAGAGGAGGGAAGGGCTCCTGACCCTGGCTGAGCTGGTGCAGGGTGGCTGAACACAGCCCCAGAGCATGATCGACCTCTTGATGCACCCTGTGAAGGTGACAGGAGGAGGGCTCAGTGCAGAGGAGGATGCAGCCACATGATGAAGGCAGAGACTTTGCAGTGGGGCACCTGAGGAAAGGCAGTGGCTGAACTGCTGCACCAAATGGCATCAACTTCCCCAGAAAATTTTCCAGTCCTAGATGGCTGGTTGATGAGTCACAGAATCACAGAATGCTTTGTGTTGGAAGGGACCTTTCAAGGTCACCCAGTCCAACCCCCCTGCAGGGACAGGGACATCTGCAGCTAGAGCAGGGAGCTCAGAGCTCCATCCAACCTCCCCTGGGATGGTGCCAGGGATGGGGCAGCGACCACCTCTCTGGGCAGCAGGGGAGGGACAGATGGCTCACAGAACAAGGACAAGCAGAAAGAGCAAAGAGACGACAACTGCACACC